TAATTGTGTAAATGCTGTTAATGCATTACTTGGACGGTTGGATAAATTTTGAATGAAATTTTTTTTTAAATAAATTTTTTATTAAAACCATGCTTGATGCAGCTTACCTTGCAGCAGACATATGTGGAAGGAAGGGACGAAAGGAGGAGAACGAAAGGAACGAAAGCACATCATCACAAAAAACAATTCCTCGGTTAGGTGCGGTACAGACTGCAAGTAGCATGCGAAATGGAATCAGCTGGCTGGTTAAACCAGTTCGTATAAGGTACAGAATCTGCAGTATACCAGTACTGCTAAACAGCTGTTTTTATACAGTATTTAGGCATAAACGTCGGGTGTCCTGTACAGTAAATTGGGACATCCTAAAGGTATTCTATACAGAAATACCACATTTACAATACAGAATTTTGAGGCATCCTATACAGTTGATTCTGTATATTGTACGCAGTTTATCGATATAAAGTACAGATATCCTCACATTCACTAGCTATCCTGTACTGAAAATCTCACATATCGCTGCTATCCTGCATTCTTGGCAGTGCACACCTTCTGGAAACACTTCTAGGTCATCCTCACCAGTAGGTCATCTTTCTAGTAATTTTCAATCATTTCATACGGTTATTCATCAGGCGCTCTGCCAGCATTTTTCGTGCAGTAACACTGACTCTCGCAGCACACTTCGAGAGCAAATCGAACACGAATTAACCCCGGCTTCGATCAGCTCACGGGTGGCTTTTACGGAACCAATTTTGTTTAATGAGCCCGGTGTGCTATTTTGTCACTCAAGTATTCGGCCAGCATTTCAATCTCGTTATCCATCCATGCGAGTCAGTTGAGATGCTGCACAAAGCTTCCGCTTTAGTGACCATAAATGTGGATTCAACTATCACTTCAGATCGGGGTATAACTCCCAGTAGTGTTCAAGTTGGCGACATTGTTGCAGTCAGCAGTTTTGCCAAAGTCGTCATCAACGAATTGCAGGAGTATACCAATTGCAGGAGTATACTATGATTTGAATGTTTCAGCAGTGTTGACGAGGTCCAACCCAAGGGCACCTGTTGTGGCGGTTTGTGGGCACATTGATCTTGCACGCAGTCTGCCCGCCCACCGTATACCTGCAATCGTTGCCAGTAGTTGGACTTCATGGCAGCCAAAAGATCGTGTCAAATTTGTAAGCCGCTACCATCAAAAGATTACCCTCGCACGCAAGCACCAAATCGACAGGACTGATAAGTGGTTGCCCGTAACGGGTCCTCTCGTCTGGTCCTCTCAGGTTGTCCTTGAGTCTGATATGTGGTTGGACACTAACTCTCTGTTGCCTCGGCACTTCCGCAAACAACATAACACACACGTTTGCGTTTGCAATACGTTTGCGAACCGGACAGCACTAGTATCCTGTCCAAACCACTTTGCTACAGAACCTGACATTCCATTCAGAGTCAACCTCTGTACTTCATGGGATCCTCTTAAAGATCTTTTGGCTGAAGTGCGTAGGTATGAGAACGTTTTGCTGGGGGTAAATGCTTACATAAAATGCCGCATTATTCATACAGTGAATACCATTGCATACACTGGCCTAGCCCAGCGCGTTGGCGAAAGAGACCTTGTTTGGACATTCTCGCCAAGGGTAATTTGCAAGCGCCTGCCTGTTGCCTAAAGTATTGGCAGGAGAACAGCATTATGTGCGTCAAGATTCTGCATCCGGAGCTCATACATTGGGCTATCATTCGCCGATTTGACAACGACCAGCATGATAAAATTCAGGTAAGTTTAAGACTACGCATACTTGATGTACAGCTAGCTGACGAGCTAGATGAGTATACTGAAATGAGTACTGGACCAGATAAATCGTACACTGATTACGAATACAGGATAAAACAGTTCAAATCTCATAGCATTCAGTCGGCCCTTCGATTCAGTGAAGGCAATGGTCCTGTTGTAGAAGCACTCTTGGATACTGGGTCAGCTTAATGCGCTGCTTCTTCCTCAGAAGAAGTATCCGAGACCACTGCCACTCAGCTGACTTCTGAACAAGCCACTGTTGTCCACTCAATTTTAGGCAACATCCCAGTCCTCTTTCAGCAGGCGTCCGCTGGCGCGGAAGAAACTCGAGTCGTCAGTGCCTATGTGGCCGAGTTGCTCAAACGAATTTCACCGCCAGATCTTATTTTGGTTATTGCTGCAACTAACACTGCTGTGGTTAATGCTACTAATGTTATTTTAGATAATGTACCAGATCTGCAAGAAGACTAATTGTGCTTCCTACAATCCACCCAAGCCGACCTGCTATTCCCCCAGCAGGATGACCCCCATCCAAATTACTGGGTCGAGTCCCGCTTACCGGAAACCTTGCTTAGGCGGTGGAATCATCGCGCCATTGAACCTGCGGAAAGAGGCTTTGTCCAGCATTACCTTCACCGGTGCCTTCCGCATCAGGGCGTTTAGGC